ACAATTCAGTTGAAATTCAAGTTTAAATTAACTGCATGCTCTTAGGTTATTTTATTTTATTTGGAATTTTATCTACGCACAACAAAATCCAAATCCAAAATTTAACCAATCAAAAAGTATCTAAATTGTCCTTGTGGAGGTCTAGGTCTAGGTCTAGGTCTGAAAGAGTCCTCTAACCTCCTTCTCTTTACCAGTTATGGTTACTTCTTTAGTAACACAGAAGTACCGCATACTCTTCACACTCTTTATTAATGACCTGCCTTCTGTATTAACAAACTTTTGAGTACTTATGCATCCGGGTGACGCTAGGCCTGTGTCCAGTATAAAGATATTTCATTTCTTTCAATAATTGTTTTGTGCAAATATGTTACACCTTAATGCCTCGAAATTCAAGGTAATGACATATCATTGCTCCAGACCTTACTGGCTCCTTACACGCTCTGCGGTAGTTCTCTTGAGAGAATTAAATTGGTTGATGATCTTCGTGTGAAACTAGACCCCAAGTTAAAGTTTTCTGAACACATTTCTACCATGGTAAATAAAGCCATGGGCGTACATGGGTTTATAAAGAGGTGCTCAAAGGAATTTGATGACCCCTGTTAAACGAAGACTCTCTTTTTCTCGCTTGTTTGTCCGATTTTAAAATACGGCTCATGAGTATGTATTGTGCTTTGTTGGTTTGGTTAAATTTTTGTCAATTGCACTTTTATTTCTCTTGTTACTTCTATTACTACACTTGTACACAAACTGAATTTTGTGAAACATTTTAATGCAAAACGGTTAATTTTCTAACGAGATTGCTCGTTTTTCACGACTTTTTCAGGTAAAATTGAGTTAGGTATCGGGATTTTATACACCTGCATTTTTATTGGGCCAAGCCACCCATATCTATTGCATGTTCGGCAAACCCAGAATAAAAAACGATGTTCTTACTGAATTCTGACCAGTGTTTATAATGGGTTTTCTTTTTTTGTGCAACTAACTCCACTAAAAAACCCGAGACGTCGACCACTAGACTACCATTCTACATATGTACATTACAGTTAGATTTTACAAGGTGGAATCTCCAAAATGATTCTATATTCTGCCCATATTTCCATCTATGTATATATGGTAGACTAGAATAGGTTCAATATACACATTTTTGAATAGAAACATGGACTGAGGACACTGAGGACGATCCTCCCGAATCTGGAAGCATGGAGATCCTGATAGCCCTGAATAAGGTGCTAAAGCGGCTGCATTTTCTTGTCTTTGGTGCGACCTCTATCATTTCAGGAACAGAAAGTGACGACACTACCGTCATTAGGATACCGCCATATCCGCCAAATAAATTTACTCTTGAATTTGTATCGTTATCGAAAATTGAAAGAAAGAGCTTTTTCTCTTGATGGAAATACTCTCTTTTAGAAACTCCCTTAAACAAATTCATGGCTGGAAAGAAAGACAATTTTGTTTTACACACCCCTTTAATTTCCAGTAAGGGGAAAGAGAGAATTTCCCTTTTCAGGAACCAATGAAAATCGAATCCACTGATGGGAGAGGAAACATTGCTTGAATTTAAGCATGCTGAAGAAAAAAGATCTCGATCAAAATCATTGATTCAAACTGCCTTGCTCACTAAATTAGCCTCCGGATCAATATTGATTGATTCATAATTTGAATTTTCACTTAAAATTATTAACTACAATGACGAATTTATTCCAATAAAAATCCAAGGAAATACACCTTTTGACGTATGTGCATATGGTACACATGGCATAATCAAATTAAGAAAACAATTTCAAAAAAAAAAGTACACGTAAAATATAGATCCGATGTAAGTACATACATACATACATATTAGGTATACAGATATACATTGTACAAATGTATGTACTTATGTATGTATTTATACAACTAAAGGCAGTCTTCCGTCTCTGGTTCTTGAACTTAGGAGCGTAATCAACGAAACTATTATTCCATCGTTCGTCAATATTGTATTATTAATTGCATTAAATCAAGCAGTTCTGTTATGGTATGTACAAACATGTACATACATACATATACCGTTGTTCCAATGGTAGAAAAAAGTGATTATGGCTCCCATATGTATTTCAAGCATTAATTAATAGAAAATATAAAGTTTACATTTTAAAATGGACACTAAAATCAACAATGGTCCGAATAGATACTGACTCAAAACTATGAAGCTTTTTTTTTTAACTCGAGTATAAGGCTAAGATTTTGACTTATGGGGCTTAAGAAAGAGGCAGTGGATTAGGAAAGATGGGAATTCTGTAATATGTATATGAAGGATGTGCAGTATTTTGAGGTGTCTGCGATATTGCTGTTTGTGTTATTGAGGTTTTTTTTTGGAAATAAAAACTGTGTTACAATCTGAGAAAATCTTACGTTGAGTGCAACTCTTTATTCATATTTATCAGAAAATAAGTAAGCTTACGGTTTGCTCAGCAAATAATGGTATGATGCGCAGTGCATGATTTGTTGGGCACCCAACTGTGGAAAACTATGGAGTGGACGACTATCAATAGACTACAAAACATTTCATTAGACGAACATAGCAGCAATGTTATGTTAAGCGCAAACTGTTGGTTGACTGAAATTTCAACAGGGACGGAAGGGACTCAGTGTTCAGATGATGGTGATGGTGTCCGTAGGATATCCCCAAGAAGTCACAGCTTTACGTGGGGACATTTCGTATTTAAATGCAGCCCTCGGCAAGCTTTCTAGCCTATTGTTTTGCAAGTGCCAAGCCAAGTTTATTGAATACATTTTTCTCTTCGCGTAAAAGTACTTAAAAGTTGAAGAATTGCAGGGATGAGAACGACGACGCAAAAGCAAAATATGCGTGGGTGGGGCGGGTCTGGGGCTGGGGCTGTTCATAGATGGATATGGATGGGCCTCACAAAATGTAAATCTTGTTAAACGGGACAGTAATAGTAATTGCATGAAAAGCAGAAATATAGAAATCAAATATTCTGGGTGATTGATTAATCGAACATACACATTTTTTCAGGCAAGTATTTACCCAACAGTGATGTACATTGTGAGGTCCTGTGACACTTATAAAAAATTTTACTATATTAATATCGATACCATTTTGTTGGAGAAGGAAAATAAGAACAAATTAAGAACAGGACTTTGTTCGGCTGGTTAACTTTCCATCGCAAAGGTTCGTATTTACAAAGATTCCGCTGGCGTTTTATAAGAAAGAGGAAAAAAATTTAAATAAATAAGGCGAAAACCAACCACCAAACGCGAGGCCAGATAGCAAGTACGATTTGAAAACCGAACAGGAGGAAAACTGAGTGACTTGGACCACCCGCACACCCTCGCCAAACCATTACTGCCCACCCTATCTCCGCCGTCAATCTGAAACCTTCGCATCACATAAACCCCCTCCCCAGAAAACGGGCCGGGCAAGCCAGCTAAGGAAAGTCGAGTCGGTTTGTTTTCTATCGCCTTACAGCCAGTTCCTTTAGACGTTTGCTTCGGGTGGGCGGAGGGCATGGGGGTGGGGGGTGATTGACCGTAGAGTTATGGTAGATGCGGGAGCGAGCCGTGCTGTGCCGTCATCGTCATCATCAATATTTGAATTTAAAATTTCCTATTTTGCAAAACACGCGCCATATTTATTTCTTTTCTTTTGATTTTTCTCGCCTCCCTGCTATTTCCTTTTCTGCGTCCAATTTTCTGTCTTTCCGGTCAGGCTCAACCTACCACCACCAGGACGGACCTCCACTGGCACTCCACTCCCACCAAACCCTTCTCCCCTTCGTCGACAATGCCGTTTTGTTTTATTACGCAAGCATTTTCCTCCATTAATAGCCACGAGGCATTAAATTTTTAAATCAGCAACTTGTGCGAGGAATGGCGTGGATGGAAAGAAATGGCAGTGGGTGTGGGACGGTAAAGGATGGTGCAAGATGGAGATGGGGAATGCGATGGGATGGTAATGGCGTGGGTGCAAACGGGATGGCGATACAGAACGAAAGAAGTCATCGCTAATGATGTCCCGGGTACAGTCGCGCATAATTGTATACACCTAACAATGGATGGTTGCGCATTTGTATCTGGACATGAACAAGTACATACATAATTATTGTACAAGTGTGTACGTACATTCCACCGAAAATTTAAAATTATTATGTAATCGAGATACAGTTGGAAAGTGTTCAGTCATATTACAACATATTTACATTCATATGTATGTACATGCGTATGCTGGATTTTGAAATGGTCTGTTCGGCGATAGCAGCCAATGTGAATCGCCTGGAAGGAGCTATCACAGGTTACAATACTTATAGGTTTTTGTTTACTTTCATCAGGGATGGTAAATATCATCTATGCGCTTCTTGGGATCGCCAAGATTCATATGCAAATGATCAGTTTATATCTAGCACCAACCCTTTATGTCCTCCGCGTGGTGCCATTGTAAGACCTTAGCCGGCAGCTGCGCTACTTCGGGCCCAGAGTCCTGGACCGTTACCGGACATTGGATGATCTGACCAAAGGGTAGAGTAAGAGAACATCTGGAAAACGGGTTTTCTCACGCTTACCCTATCCATAGCGATCACAGGAAAAGAACGACCCTGACAGCACGAAAATCTCACTGCGCAAGTATTCAAATTTTATTTTTTAATGTTCGCTGGACGTAACGGCCACTAGTGTGTCCTTTCGTAAGAGGGCTGGAGTTAGGTCAGTTGCTTCAAATTTGCATAAACGCCCGACCTTTAGCAATCTGAATCCGAACCGAACCGGTAAACTGGTCAGACCGGTTGCGTGTTGTGTCCTCTCAGCTAGCTCAGCATATGTATGCATGCCCATTGAAGCTATCCAGTGCCCAAGAGCCTTAGCCATAGCTCATGCGTTGCGTGGCCCAAAAACCCTTTAGCACATCTCCTTGTCGTTTCTGTTGCTGTTCTGCTGCTGCTCCCCTCTTTCATCCCAGTTCCTACCCATGGCAACGTCAACACACATTCTCTCTCACATGTGAAGGGGGAACGGATAGTCAAAGGCACAGCTCACTCTCGGCTGATTTTAGCACACATTCTGTCCTTGCCAGGAAAGCTCGGTTAGGCTCATTTAGAGTTTGACGCTGAGCAATGGCAGTTGAATGTTATTGCAAAAATCGAATACGGATGCACGATACGCACCTATGTATATAAAACTGCCTATTTGCTCAGAGAGGAGAGCCGGTGGAATTGTGGCATTGCGGAATTTCCAAAAAAAAAAAAAAATAACCCGACAGACCATCTTTTCAGAACAAAATTACAATTGCCTATGACAATGTGTGAATAATAATAAACTTTTATTAATGACAGCTCAGTGTTAATTGACCATAATATACAACTGTTGTGAAGTGTAGTGTGGATACGTGTATATTTGCTTTTTAATACTTTTTACTACTATCGCCTTTGAGTAATTGTCCTGTCTAATGATACATTAAAAAATTGCCTCAGAAACGAATCGAATATAAGCAAAGTTTTCTGGTTGGAACATTTTGAAAGTGATTGTTATTACATATTTTAATTATAATTTGTTCAGGAACTCCTGCGTTTGCGTGTTGGAAAACAACAAAACCGAAGTCAATCAATTTCATCAAATGCTTTCATATGCTTTATTTAACAAAGAAAACAGTAACAATGCCGCGCTTTGATTTGAACCTTATTATTGCCAGAACAGAAAAAAAGCCTTCCTTCCTTAGTGCTAAATAAGACAGTCTCCTGTTTTTTTCATTTTTCTCTACACCATTTTGTACTCAAGAGAGGAGAGTTGTCCCATTTGTCGATTGTCGTCTTCTCGTTTTTTTTCGTTTTTACATTGCCAAACTTATGCAAGCTGAGGGTGGATTGTATCGGCCGAGAGCATGGCCAACCATTTTGTTTTCTTTCACTTGCAAAACTCGTTCCACCCACCGTCACCAACACAATCAGATGAGGTAACTAGAGAAATTCCGAAAGAGTTTTTATTCTCGGTAATCAAAGTACATTTGTGAAAATGTATGTAAATACAGAAAGTATATACATACATATGTACAAACACATGTACAAATCAGAGTCGGTCAGTTTCCGACTTGACTCAAAGTCATCACTTCTCTCCTCCCTCTATACAACTAGCTTTCCCCTTGTGAGAACCCTACTCGAGTTCTGATGAAGGGGTATTTTAGGGTCGAGTCAAAAGTTTTGCCCATTCTCTGCTTAACCTCAAAAGCAATAACAAACAAACTAAATAAAATTGGGATGTTCTTTTTTACAATAACTGTATGAGTTGTAAAAATGTATAAAGGCGTGGCTCGAGTATGAAATTGTGTAACTCTGCCATAGATTGATTTTTTCGTTAGATTCGCCATTTTAAAGTCATTTCACATGGAAATATGCTAATAATTGGTTTCATGGTTTTTTTAATGACAGTTCATACGTACATACATATTATTTTGTGGCAGTCGCCTTTTATGTAAGTATATTATTTGCATAATTGGTAAGTTAGGAAGGAGCCTCACTTAAGAAATAGCAATAGAATATAATTTAAAAATAATAAAAAAATTACTTTTCGCGGTAGAACGAATAAAAAGTTTAATTTACGTTTAATTTTTGATAAGCTTTTCCGTTTCTTGAGATCTCATCTCTTCGTCTGAATGATTAGTTTATTCCTCTCACTAACTGATGCACGCTCTTCCTCGGTATTGCTCGAAAGCTTTCTTTTGATCTTCTAGGATCCGAGGCATTAATTGAGGCCTTATTCGGCATGACTCGGAGCCCAACGCTGATCTGTCGTGACTGCTGTTGTCAGCCTGCTTTATATACAGACCATGCAAAATGAAGTGACTGATCCAAACCATCCTTAAGGCGTAATAATTGGAGTGTGAAAATTGTAGATCAATAATTGTTTCTTTATTTTTTTAGAAGGCGTCATAACAATTTTAAACTCTGCTGGAGTTGCTTCAAGAAGAGAGAGTAGATGTAAAACAAATTTTTAAGACAAATGGAAACGAACCATTTTCTATACTTCTGAACAAAAAGCGACAACATATCTACCGTTCTTTGTTCTCTCCTTTTCTATTGTTTTTTATATATCTCATGACAAGTGCGAGCAACATTTAGATAGTTAATCTAGAAATAAATTAAAACCCACACAAAAAGAGACGCTTCGTACGCGTCACAACGTTTATACCCGGTACTCAGTCAGTATATGTATGCATGTACATATATGTATGTATAAACATACATTTGTACATATGTATTTTTTTTTCGAATTTCACATTTTACGTACTATTTCGATGTTCTCCAACTCCGCTCATACAGAGTAGTCAAATAATAACACATATAAAATACGATCTGTCCCCTTCCAATTTTAGCTCAGGCACATTCTCTTAGCATCGACAATGGATAATTGTAGGATGAAGAATACAAAAATAAATTACCGATTGCATAAGTGTATACGCTTTTTATGTCCGGTACTCGAAGAGTAAATAGGGTATTGTATTTGTGTGAATAACGGTTGTATGTAACGCACAGAATGTGAAAAGAACAAAAAAAGCTGCGGGACAAGGTGGGTTTAGCCACTGGAAATTAATTTCTTTTTTGTGGCTAATAATGATCCAATCGGATCCCAATTTGGAGATCTCATAGATATGGCCATTCTCTACGGAAAGTTTTTAGTTTTATTTTATCTTAAAAATTGTAGATTTGGGAGACTTTCGCCCTTTTGCGGGGCGGGGATAATTTTTGAAATACACTGGTTTCAGTGTGAGCATACAGCAGTCCGGAGCCAACATTTGGTGGCTCTAGCTCTTATAGTCTCTGAGAACTAGCCGACAAACAAGACTGACGGACGGACGGACGGACAGACAGACATGGCTCTATCGTCCGGCTATTGATGCTGATCAAGAATATATATACTTTATGGGGTCGGAAACGCTTCCTTCTGTGCGTTACATACAACCGTTATTCGCACAAATACAATATACCCTATTTACTCTTCGAGTACCTGGTATAAAAAACCACTATGGTACAGCTGTACTACTGAGTACCGGTTACACATGTAGTGACGCGTAAGAAGCGTCTGACACGTCCCTTCTCGTTAGTACTATATCGTTTCGATTCGATTGATGTCAGACTATGATAATTGGCACTACACAGTGCCGTCTACAGTTTGTCTCAATCTCATTTCCGATTTTTATACATAGTTTAAACCTTACTTAGACTACATTTTATGATATGGTGAAATTTAAGCTCAATCGGTACAGGGCTTTTCGGATAAAAGCTAAGATTGCACATTTATATATACACAATTACAGAAAAAAAAATCTAAATATTTTAAAACAAAATGTTATAAAATTAAATACATATTTATAAGAAAAAAATTATGATGTTACATTTATAAATTTCAAATATTGAGATACTTCAGCGTTACCAATCAAAAACTTTGCGACACATTGTCAATGCTCCGTTTTACATATCTAATGCAAAAATCCACAAAGATCTTGATATTCCAACCATTAAAGAAGAAATAAAGAAAACTAGTAGGAATTACATCGACGGACTCCATGAAAATAATTTAGCCTTAAGTCTATTAGACAATAGCTTAACAGTAAGAAGACTGAAAAGATACCACATTCTCGATCTCCCCGATAAATAAATCTAACAAACTGAAAACTGAACTCATTGGGAAACTGCTATTTCTGTTAATTTAATATTAATTATACAATTTACTTATTGTTTAAACAAACAGATTGTAAATATAAAGAGAGAGAGAAAAAAAAACATTTATAAATAAAACAATTTGTTTCATGTTTTTTTTTACATAAACGAATGCAGACGATAATATTGAACTATTAAAGAAATATTTGCACAAGAATGTTTTAAGTGTCTAATGTCTAAGTTTTAAATTTTTTTGGTGAATATTTAACATTATAGCTATGAAAAAAGGGAGCAACGTACATAGCGGATGGATTTTCTGTAGAATCGGCCCAGCTTGCGGTTTACAGAAATAGGGTGGCAGAAATTTCGACGGGATACACAAAAAAAAGGTCTTAACAGGGTTTCAACAATCAATCGCAACTATTTGAAATGTGCCCTCTTGTGTGATGCATTGGCCGATTAATTATATTTCAGATTGTTGCCAAGACTCCAAAGGCAATACAATATTTGAGAAAAGCTTATTTGGGTAACTCAAAGGTTTTGGGTTAAAAATAGGCCCACTATTTCAAAATTCTATTTTTTGTGTATCTTGCTCCTTTTTATAATCGTGTATGATTTTTCCCAAGCCGAGCTAAAGTTTTTACTTCAATTGTGTTGGTAATTATCACGCTCACCCAGAATTAAAATAACCAAATTTGATGTAGATATGTTATTCCCTCCATTCAACTCGAATGGAAACTTTCAGATTAAAATTCGCAGACAGAATTGGCTGGACAAGATTAGTTTTGTTAATTATCTTTTTAATGGAAGAATTTACAGTCATCTTACAATTTTATATAATAGAGTTGAGAGTAATTTTTGTATATTACAAATTTTCTTAATTGAATTTAACACAGAGGGCAGCTTTCAAATGAAAATACAAAGACAGCTGCATTGAAATAACTGATAGATCGATAGCCAATCATTTATACACAATCGCAATGCGATTCTTACATAGTTCGTAAATTACGTGCACATTATACTGGTAGGATGGGATGCATCTCTGTTTAATATTCAGAGTGTCTCAGTTGTTTCTCCCCATCTAAAACATCTAAGATAATAAGCTTAATAAAAACCTTATTTAGAGATGGATGCTTGATAATGGAGACTAGTATTTGAATCATGGCAAGGACAGTTTCGTAGCAGTGGCAAGGTTTTATTTATTCACAAAGAATGCCGGATTGGGTGACAAGTTAGGTGGCATCGCAATCATGTTGCCCTGCTGCTGCTGCTGCATCTGCTGTTGTTGCTGACTCCGTGTGTTGGTTGCGTAAAGCTGTTGCTGGAAGCTGTGATATTGCTGTGCATACTTTAGATCGTTTGAAGAGGGACCAACGAAATTTACCCCAGGTGCGCCATTGGATGTGCTATTACCGGCAGCTGACATTATGTTATTGTTGCTGGGCCCGATGACAGACTGCCCCTGCACCTGTCCCTGCCCTTGTCCCGCTGCAGAGCCAACACTGACACCGGCACCCGTTGGATTTTGGCACATACCACTAGGCATCGACTTCAGGTGCTGATGTTTTGTCTGATTGGTTTGTTGTGATGCTGAAAACATGCCAGAACCGGGACCGGGTCCAGAACTATTACAGGGAGCGTTATTAAAAATTGTAGTGGGGTCGCCACCGCAATCAAGCTGCCCATCTGGTGTGTGTGCAAACTGAATCTGCTGTCTATTGATCAAGTTGCCGACGGGTGCTTGTAAACGTGGACCCATTCCGTGTTGGCGCATCCCATGTGGGCGCATACCGCGAATCATCGTCTGTTGTCCAATGCCTATTCCCATATCATGACCCGCCAGAGCTCCCTCATCATCCATGCCACTTAGTTGATTACAATTTTGAAAAAAGCCCATTCCGTTCCCAGGATTGCCTGGATTATTTGCCATCTTTGTTTGCTGCTGCAGCTGCTGCTGTTCGGCGGAGGTGTTCATAAGCATGGGCCCTGCTCCAGGTGCAACCATCATTCCCCCATCACTTCCGAGTGGGGGACAGATTGACGGTGGACCATTGCCACCTGCAGCCAATTGCGGATTTGCGTATCTCTGCAAGAACTCCAAGCTAGGTGGCATTCGAACATTGCTGACTCCATTATTATTGTTATTGGCTGCGTTCTGTGGACGAACTGGCATGTACTGTATGGTATTCGGTGTACTGGCCTTCACCTGTATATTTGGGTTAAAGTTCGATCCAAAATTGACTGGCATTCGACCCATTAACCGCGCGCCTGGTGGTAGAATCCCATGGAAATTCTGTGCATTACCTTGGGACGAAATTGGTCCAGTGCCAAGACCAGGGCCAGGGCCCGGTCCTAAACCATCTCGCATAGCACCATTCGGAGAATTAGGGTTAAATCCTGGAGGAGCACCTGGAATGCACATTTTCGGATTCAGCATTCGCTGACCCATCGGATTCATCAAGGAATTCATGGGATGACAACTGTTTTGGGCATTCATGGCATCCATGCCAGTTGAATCTATGCCGGACATTATTCCATGCTCAATATTCATATCAACCGACCCTGTTGCTGGTCCGGCTCCGCCCATCATATTCATCCCACCAGCACCGGCAGGACTTCCCATGCTGGAAACACAGCTGGTTAGCTGCTGGGACATCTGTGCTAATGAAGTTATTGGATCAAAGTTCTGAGCCATTTTATTTGGGGGCGGGCGATTACCACTGTTTGGATTCAGTGGAATATTATCAGAACGCCGATTAAATTGCACCTGACCACCAGGTCCAGAATTTTGTCGCTAGAATAAAATAAAAAAACTTCAAAATTTAATCAGATAAAATCAATGAATCAATTAAATTACCTCCATTGCAATATTTGAGGAGGACACTTTATAGGCATTTAATGCTGTATTTGTATTGCTTTGCATATGCGGATGTGGATTAAAACTCACGCCAGGACTAGAAGCTGCAAATCGGGTTTCCATATTTGCCTCTATAAGACAGGTTCCTGGAGAACGTGGACGATGTGGGCTAGGTCGTCTATTTTTTATATTGTCTCCTGAAAATATATTGTTGGAAAGATTTTAAAAAAATATTGCACTCAGGGGAAGCATTGATAGTCATAGCTTATAATTGTATTGTATATTAAAAACTCGTACCATTTTAAACATTATTCATGATTCATTTTTACTCTACCATATTTTTGAAACAGGGGTCGAACTGTTCCATATACATTTATTAACTATTTATTATATTTATCGGCTTGTGTTCCAGATCAAGAATATTATCTGTATGTAACTAGCTTCTTACCAAAAAGTTCTTCTTAGGAGGTTTTTGCTTCAAATACGCTCGTTCCATTCTATATTTTATATACTTCTGCATATTTATTTAACACAAATAAACAATACACGTGTATCAATGTGATATCACATGAGTCTTCACCAAAATCCACAATTTGGTGGCTCTTATAGTCAAGACGGACGGACAGAAAGACGTGGCTATATCGACTCGGCTATTGATGCTGATGCTGTGTTAGAGACATCCACTTTCGCCTACTAAAAATACAATATACCATATTTACTCTTCGAGAACCGGGTATAAAAATGTTGGACGGATAATTTATCTGAAGGAACAAGTAATAAGTAATAATCGTATGCTGAAATCTACACCGCTGTTAAATATTTTGCATTACCAGAATTAGAGTTCGGTTGGTTAAACGAGTCCAGTTCCTTCGGGGATAGGTGAGATAATGGGGTGCTCGGATTACTGCTTAAATGATGATTTAGCACTCCTGATGTTCCGCTACTTCGATTTCGATTGGGATTGGAGTTTAGATTTGACGGCGAGGCCGCCTCCGTCTGAAAACAGTTCTTCGACCCTGAATGCACCGATATTGTGTTTGCTTGCGACGTGGCAGCCGCCGCAGCTGCAACAGCGGCAGATGTTGTGTTTGATACCGCCGCTAATCCGGGACCCTCCATACTGGGTGAATTGGCCGGTAATCCCATAGCAGCACCAGTGGTTCGTGGAGAAGGCAGGGATAGGTTATTTGGACTTGATGGATTCGGAGATTGAGTGGCAATAGGAACGGAAGCCGACCGCTGAGTAGAATGATATGGAGGCGGAGGCCCTTGGAGAGAGTTGCGCACCTGATTGCAGCCGGCGGACTGCTGATGTGGCTGTGCTACTAGAGGTCCTGAAGGTCCTGCACCTGGTCTGGCTTTTCCTCCTTTCAAGCGATCTTCGAAAAATTGCTGTTGAATTTTTGACCATTCCATTTGGGCCATTCCCGCATGGGGCGCCTGAGATAAACCATCTTGCAGTTGATTTGGCATTCCTTTTAACATTTCTGGCCCACTTCCTATTATTCCTATTCCACAGTTCGGGTTTCCAAAGGGACTCAACAAATCCGATGAATTTGCCATCAAATTGCCATTAGTGGCTCCAGAGTTTGGGCATTGCATGTTAACGTTAATCGATCCTGCTGCAGTTACAGGTGTCGCTCCTGGTGCTGGCCCGCACTGCAGACTATGTTTTTGTCCGCTACTGCTCATCGTAGATCCCATGTCGGCCATTACATCTGCAGGAAGCAGAACTTCTTCTGACAGTCCTGAACCCGTTATGTGTTCAGACTTTATGTTTCCTGACATGTGCATGTGACGCATTTGCGGATTTACAATAGGGGGCCCAGTTCCTGCACTGCCTGCACCAGGCATGCTCATAATCATGTCGGTTGGCAACTTTGACAACTGATTTCCCATTATTTCATTTGCTCCACTGGCATTGTCGTTCTCTGGAAAGAGAAATTGATTCATTTTCTTGATCTTGGCAAGCTGCTCTTCCCGATGCTGGCGCTGCTGCGGGGTAAGGTTTTCATCTGGCACTTTAACCCCTTGCAGCGAAATTATATTATTCTCATGGCTGAGGTTCAAATCGTTACACTTTCCCTGCCCTAACTCAACACCCGCAGCTTCCAAAAGTTTTATTGCTTGCGACTCATTGGGTCCGTTGCAGATATCTATGTTATTACGACCGTTGGGTCCAGAGCCGCTCCGGCTGCCACCAGCACCCGCTCCCGCTCCGGTCTCCCAGCACATTAGATCGTTCTCATTCAAATTATCAGGCTGATCAGAAAAAGTGTTGCTAGGAGCATTCATAGCATTACGTTTGCAGTTATCAGCTTGATTGAACTGCGTGTGCGACTTTTGGAGACTGCCTGACGACTTTGATTGTGGCGTCGACTGCTGGGATAACTTTACAAGATTGGGACCAGTTGCAGCGATTCCGGGTACAATACCCATCCAAGGCATTCCTAACGAGCTTTGCCGCTGCAATTTGTTCATTTTCATTGGATTTTTCATGAAAAAGTCCTCCAGAAAACTTTTAGTCGCTGGCTGAGTGCAGTGGTAGGCAATGATAGTTTGGAATTGACCGCTTAAAACCGATTCAGCGCCTTTGTTTGCAAGCTGTGTGGAAAATACAAATATGTGATTCTGCTGTTGCATGTAATCCAAGCAATTTCCCACTCCCGCGCCGATAGAGCTACCTCCATTTCCTGTCATTAAATTTCCCCCTGCAGTGGCATTTGGAGCACTCATATTTGAAGACACTCCGCTGGAGCCGGGCGTATTGTTGGTAGTGTCGCTCATTCTATCGGTGCTTAATTGATTGCATGCAACGCCTCCCATGCCTCCCATTTCGTCAGTGCTCAATGCCGTGTTCGTTTTTTCGGAACTGCTGCTTCCGACATTGAGTTCCATTTTAACTAAAGGGTGGGGAAAATTATTTTTTAATATATGTAAGTTGACTTTGAAAAATATAGATATTACAAATCTGGAAAGGGGCCCCCCAGATCGGCCGTTCCTATAATTATAATTGATTTATATCATATGATTATTCATATGATTATTGTTGGCTTATTTGAATACCTGCTTGTTCGATCGTTTTTTAGGATCTGATCTGATTCGGATCGACTCTAACTTATGTATCTTCCGATATTGACGTTAATACTGCCTGTATTAAAGAGAAGGGATTCAGCCATATACAATTAACAGACAGAAATTACGGACAGATAGACTCAGATCGACGAGCAAGAGAGCAAATAAAAGTTATGAGGCCAGACGGAGCGGGCTCCTTACATGTACATATATCTTTTAAACTTACCAGTCGTTACCGCACTCTCCTGTAAATTCCCAGATGGGCCTCCAATTGAACCAAACCCGACAGGTGACATGTTTGGTGAATGGTGCTCTTCTTTCTTGACATTCACTAAACTATTTAAAACGTCGGCGGGTTCTTCTTTGATCGCAAGGGTAGCAGTCAATCCCGATCCTGAGCCAGCTCCAGAACCTAAGCTCTTGGCTTTATTGGAAGCTTTTTCTGTTGGAGACGTAATTTAAAAAAATAATCGAGTAGTCAAAAAAATGGAATACAAAAATTTACCCGCATCTTCATCCTTGACAATTATCTTTTTCTTCTTCGAATGCTCATCCTGCTGCTGGACAAGATCGCTTTCACCCATTTGCGCAAGGGCAGCCACCGCAGATACATTGCTGCTATTGGAGTGCTCACTGGTATTGTTTGGAGAGGCAACCAGACACGAGTTTATGGTGCTCGAGGAGTTTTGCCTCAGCATTGGTGTACTGACAGCGCCAACTGCAGATGATGGTTGTCCATCGGCAGCGCCCGTTCCAGAGTTACTGTTACCCCCTCCAATTCCACTTGCGCCGATGCCATCTTTCCCATTCTTTGGTACTCCGTTTTTCTCGCTCGCATCGTCTGACATTGATTTCGTTAGGTCTGCAACAATGAAAAATTCTATTAAGGATCTACCAAAACGCATTCTCGACCCTTACCCTTACCAGGCGAACGAGTAGAAAAGGATTCACTTTTCGGAGAGTTCCCAGTGGCGCATCCAATCCCGATCCCAACCGAGGATGCACTTGTTGAAGCATCAACGTTTGCTTGTGTCTGTGCTTGAGCAGGGCTAGGTGGCATTGTTGTCGACAGCATTCTACATAAATCTACATGGAACAACGAAGGCGTGTTTTCTTGCCGGTGTAAAAAAAAACGGTGTTCAATTACTTAGTCCATGCTTCAGTTCTTAAGAAATATATATATCTTTTGATTTATTGCAACTACAATTCAAGGCAAACAGAAACGAAACGAAGCCCAACCTGTAAAGAGTATATGTCACTCTACGCACACCGTCGCATTTTCGCATTACCATACACTTTAAAACACTGCACCACTTATTTTAGGCAAAGAAGTATTCCTGACCACTCTAATCGATATTTTATTTTTTTAAATATCGTTTCACCTCTTAACCATCTATTTATTCGTAAATTGATTAATTCTAAGGACCATTTCATGCATACGCATGTACATATGCTCAAAGTTTCACGATTTTCGGTATACAGGGACTAATACTAATACACTTGTACAACAATTCACAAGAACAACCAGAAAAAATTTATAATTTTGGGATTCAACGTATGAATGGATTGGACCATTTACATATGGCTACTGGCATTAATTTCAGCTTAATTAAATAATTATTTCTTGCTTAAAAATCCGAATTCTTAGTAAATATCCAGAATGTGCATTATTATTGTTTCTCTTCATCAGTGTGACCGCGGAACTATCGACCAAATATACCGACAGACCATCGAAAATATACCGAAATATACCTTTCATTTTCAAAATATTCTGTAAATATACCATAAATCTTAAACCGTTATTTTACTCGAATCATTACTCAATTCTACACACGATTGGCTGATTTTCAAGGCTGATTTTTATGGAATTGATTGCAAAATTCTGTAAAAACCTCAACCAAAAAATGGAATTAGAAGTCAAGTAGGTGGGAAAGGAATGCTACTCCAATTGACAATATGTTGCTGGCCAAACCAATAGTTTGGTATAATATGGGCACTTGTGTACCCTAGTTGCTAAAATTAATATTAAAATTCCATTTTACCAGCTTTTTTTTAACCTTTAACCTCTTCATAAGTTTCTTTGTACATATATGTTTATGTCTATATGTATACATTCTCGGTGCCCTTAATCTGCAAAATTTTGTTAAGATACTCAGATACACAGTTGTTTATGCATTGACTGAGAGATTTCCTCAATTCGAATATATCCATCCCCATCCATCCATATTGCTGTATTTAATATAACTGATCCTTCATCAACTCATCCTGCTGATATTGCAGCGTTGCCGCATATTTCATGACTTCGTGCGATTGCGCTTTCCGGATCAACAGCAGCTTTTGACGGGACAACACTGAAAAATATTTCTGCACCATCTTCCTGATACCATCCACCTCAACCTTTTTGAGTTCCAGCCATCGTTTGTTACTGTTCCTTCGCCGTTCTCTTGCCAATTACAGTACCCGACACGATTTTACCTCAAGGTTCCAAAACCAGACAGAAAAAAAAATTAGATTTTGTCGAGTAGTTCTATTTGTTTAAAATATAACTTTCACATTTAGCTTTTTACGTATCTAATGCAAACATCCACAAAGATCTGAATATTCCAACCATTAGAGAAGAAATAAAGAAAACTGGTAAGAAATACATCGACAGACTCCACAACCACGAAAATAATTTAGTTTTTAACAGTAAGAAGACTGAAAAGATACCACAGTCTCGATATCCCTGATAGATAAATCCAACAAACTGAAAAGATGTTATATATAATAGCAGGGCTCATTGGAAAACTGCTATTTCTGTTAATTGAATATTAATTATACAATTTACTTATTGTTTAAAAAACAGATTGTAAATATAAAGAGAGAGAAAAAAAAAAAAAAAAAAAAACATTTAGCTTTGCCATATTTCTTCTGGATTATCATTGTCTTCAAATTTTCAAAAAACATAGATAAATAAGTCATCAACAAAACAAGGTCATGAGGGTGCATTAAATAGAAGAGAAGATACCGACCGTTGAAGTGAGAATCATAAATTACAGCACAAGAAATAGCACAAATATTGAACTTGGAACCTTTTTGGGTTTGGCGTTTTGCCGAATATCGAATACAAAATTACAACAAATCTTACAAAATCTTAAAACAAAAATTACGAAATGTTTGCAAATGAAACATAAATAGGTATTTTATTTAATTTATTTTACATTTGAAATGAGAAAAAACGTTTATACTTAGACCTGTGTTGGGGGACATGTTGCACGTGCTACAAGTTGCCAACCGTCACAGCAGCATTGCTGCGCCGAAAATTCCCATGTTGCGGGAAAGTGATTGTTGGAATGGAATTTAAGAGACGGACGAAATTCAATTAATATACCATTGTATACCGAAATACCATAAATACCATAAATGAACATTAAACTCATATTTGTAGTTAAAATATCCACAAAAGTATATACATAATTACCGTAAGTGGTAACCCTGCTCTTGATGTTGCCCACCAGTGTGACCGCGGGCTTATCGCTGAAATATACCTGATCATCAGAAATATACCAACACAACCGTTTTTGAAATAATTTCAAGCAGGAAGGCGTTGCTAAGTGACCAGAACAGTGTGACCTTCACATAAATAACGAATTCAAAATGTACCAAAAGCACAAACAGAAACTAAAACTGAATTAAACACGAACCCCAGAGTCGATTCGTGTTTAAGATGAAGACCATCGGATCAAAACGGGATTAAATCAGAGGAAGTAAAATTTCCGCCCACTTGTAGGTTATTCCTTTCCTTATTTTTCTTCTTTGAATCACAATTTCTCGAGTAGATGTTCATCCGCCAACCATGAATCCATCAACGTCGTCCACAATAACAGGGGCTTTGAATTTACGAAAGTTCGAAAGACAATATCGTGATTGGTAACTTTGCAGCTTGTGCATTTGTGATTTAAATCATTTAACCGGTACTCGTCTAGTAGCAGGTGTAAATTTATTGTACTTGTGTACGTTTCCGACCCCATAAGGTATATATGTACATATACTCTTGGTCAGCACCAATAGCCGGTCGACATAGCCATGTCTGTCTGTCCGTATGTTTGTCCGACCGTCTTGCTCGCGCCTGGATCTCAGAGGTACGAAAAAACCTAAAACCAGATCCCCCCAATTAGAATAAGATTGGATTATTTGGATCAGATTTCCCTCCCTACGTACATTCTCTAGAATGTACAAATGGTCTTCAAAAACAGGTTTGAATCTAGAACTGTGCCGATGAACAGGCGATTAAGTTGTTATGGCTGTGCTTCGATATTGAGTAGTAGCACATTTCCTGATATCGAACATACATACATACATACATATGTATGATCGAATTTGAGCATATGACAACGTGGACGGACAAAGAAAATATCACCGTTGAAGTTGTCGGCCATTTTCGTTAAGAGTGTCAATTATGAGCAGTAGCTTGTCTCCGTTCCAAATGTTAATTTTGATTCTATCATTAACGAGAAGGGACGTGTGAGACGCTTCTTACGCGTCACAACTTTTATACCCGGCACTCAGGACTACACTCTGCACCTTAGCGGTTATTTGTCAAATTTTACATTTTTTCTTCATCTGTCATCTACATCAACAACACTACTCAAACCAACACGCTCCTTTAGCTCGCCACCCTCCCCTAGAGCCGCACACTGCAAAGTCCGGGCAGAGACGAGGCAGAGACGTGTCAGAGGCAGCGATGCGGCACTACGCGAAGCAGAGTGTGAATGAGAGAATGTAAAGAGAACAACAAAAGCTGCGGGACAGGGTGGGTTTAGCCACTGGAAATTAATTTCTCCATTGTGGCCATAATAATGATCCAATCGGATCCCAATTTGGTAATCTGATATATATGGCCATTTCCTACTTAATGGCGTTTTTAGTTTTCTTTTATCTTCAAAATTGTAGATTTGGGAGGTTTTCGCTCTTTTACGGGGCGGAAGGGGGCGTGGCTCATTTTTGTTTCATATGGTTTCAGTGTGAGCATATAGCAGTCTGGATGCAAAATTTGGTGCCTCTAGCTCTTACGGACAGACGGACAGACAGGCATGGCTCTATCGACTCGTCTATTGATGCTGATCAAGAATATATATACTTTATGGGGTCGGAAACGTTTCCGTCTGTGCGTTACATACAACCGTTATTCCCCACAAATACAATATACCCTATTTACTCTTCGAGTACCGGGTATAAAAAAAACATAACTAAGAACTAAAGCAAAGCACTACTTGAACTCAAAACGAGGAGGGACTTTTAAACCCATTTCTAAGTGATTTTTCTCAAATGTTACATTGTACGTTTTACATTTTGTCTACATACATAGATACGTCATCTACGCCAACACGATTTTGTAGCTCTCCCCCCTCCACACCTTTAGAGCAGTGTGCTGCACGAAAAAAAAGCTGCTGGACGGGTGGGGTAACCACTGCAACTTAATTTCTTTATTCTCGTTGAAATCATATACCACTCCATATATGTATGACCATAATATGGTCACTCCCTACGGAATTGCGTTATTATATTTATCTTATCTTCAATATTGTGGATACAGCAGATTTTCGCCTTTTGTTGGGGCGGACGGGGCCAATTTTTGAAATACACTTTCACACTTGTATCAGAGTGAGCGTACACCAGTCTGGTGGAAAAATTTGGTGGCTCTAGCTTTTATGGTCTTTTATAGATAACCAGTATCGCTAGCTCTCTTAACTGCGCTCGCAATTGACATGGGATAGGGGAAACTTAGAGAGTAAGAGAACAACAACGACATAAAATGTTAACAGTTTTACACTGTTTACACTCTGTTTTTACTCTTCCCACCTGATCACCTAAATTATAAGAATTTTAAAATTGTCAATCTGATTCTACTTCCGCTACATCTGTCTCCCTCCCACATTTCTCACCCCAACACCTGCCGTTAATTCTCGATGCACACACACTGCCCAGACAAAGGGTGAGAGAGATAGAATTAAACGTATCTGTAATATTTTGGATTCCACATATTTTCGTCCTTTATGTAAATAATTCTCTTACATTTTGAATACTAATTAAAACATCATCGCGAATTGAGTTTAGATTGAACACATGTACATATGTATGTATATGTACATTCTGCTTAGCATGTATCTCTATGTATTGATTTGATTTTAGTTTAACTGAAAGTCCAACAAAAACATTAATAATATATAACGAAGTTCTCTAAAAGTGCCAAAAACACAGTATGAAATAAGCAATGAAAATTGATTATAAAATTTGGAAATCGTTCGGAAAAGAACTAAAACAACTGCATGGCTATGGGTTGTTGCTTTTTAAATTGTATACATACATATAAGGCATAGATACATACATAGGTACTTAAATAGTTACGGTTGGGTTGCCTTTAATTTATTATTGCATTTACTGGATTTTTACAGATACTTATTTTATGAATCGGTCTATACGTACGAGTAGGTGTGGATGCGCACTATTCGAGTGCTCTTAACTCTTAACCAAAAATTTGCCATTGCAAAAATTGTATTTAAACTAAATTGACTAGCATATAGATTCTCCTTATTGCGTTATTGCATCATTGCCCTTCACCTTCCCTTTCTTTCAATTAGCATACAGATACAAAAAGTGCTTGTTACAGATGCAGTCGCAGTTGAGTATTATTTAAACTTCAACGATGTACTCGATTTATTTAGCTATTTGCAGTGAGCTTTTGGTTTTCTATTCTCGAAAAAAATAGTTGTTTTACAAATGCCCAACGTATTACATTTAACTCCATTTGCAAGCTTTTAATGTACAGTATGCACGTGTGCACCTAATTGGAATTATTAGTTCGAACAAGCGATGGACTATGGCCATAGATATCTGTAAGTATTTTCACTATTTACACCTCATTATTTGCTCAGTAACTCATTTGAATATGCATTTTTCATACATATCATACATTTTGTGATCAATTATGATTGATAATTGCAAATAATTATTCGCACCTTTCTAAGAGCTGTTTATATAATGTAGTTGGATGTTAATTTTATAAATTTGACTAGATACAGTTACATACTTAGACTTTTTGAATCGGTAATAATTAAGTTTTGGGAATGCTCGCCCCACTACCTTCAAAATATGTACATGCACTCATGCACACACTCGAACATAACACAATACAATAAATGTGTGTATGTGTATGTATGAATTTATGTATGTTACAAAAATACTATTGTAGATAAATATCTTTTGAATGGAAAAATCATTTGAGTTGTGCTTAGTGCTAAGTGGTACTTGATTTTTATCTTTATCATTTAGCTTAATCTTTTTTACACCTTTAGGGTTGAATTTTTTACAATGGAAATAACTTTTTGAATGTGAGTTTGCAAGTTTTAGCAGACTATCATGACTTTAAGGTCATCCAGGTAATCAGAAATGCCTAAATCATCCATACAGATGTTGGTTTGATGCTGTTGCAGCCCATTACATGTGCTTGGGGCCCAATTTTCATCCGTTTCTGGCTGTGGCTTAATCTCAGCCAAATGATCTACATAATCATCACCATCACCATCACGATCAGCGTCAGTTAACAGAGTATCTCCAATTTCCCCCTTCCGTGGAATTGTATTATTATGGAATCTCACTGTCCTTCGGGATGTAGATGCAGAAGTAGATGTAGATGCATTAGAGTAGATTTCTAAATCGGAAGGCGTGTGCGTGTGTGTACTTGTGTGGAGAGTCCGGGGGCGGGAACGAGTACGAGTTTCAGATAGCTTGGCCTCCATCTCATTCGGCTTGTTCTTGTTGTCTGATTGTTGCCCGCATCGTCTATGCTGTCACAACATATCGCCCTGCCCGTCACTGTTATCCCCATGTTCGTCAACTAAATCAAAGTCGTGACTTTCCAGCTCCAACTCCATATCAGCCTCGTCATCAAAAGCCCCAATGGGTGACATCGCTGTCGTATGGATGTTGGCGTAGTTTGCATGTGACAAATTATTGCTTGCCTGTTGTTGCTGTCGGCTCTGCATGGAATGCATTGCATTCTTTGTATCGTCATCCCGCCACTTGTCCATCGAACGACGTCGAGCGTTCATAAAGAAATTACCCACGGTGGTGGGTTCTAGTCCCAGCTGTCGAGCAATTGTTACTTGCATCTCCTTCGAAGGCCTCTTGGTTTCCTAAATGTTTTGTTCATTTAAAAATTTATTTATATGCAGCAATATTGGAAGCTCACTTTAAAAATAGCTTGAAGCGTTCGTCGCTGGAGGTCCGTAAAAACCAGCCGTGGCTTCTTTGGTTGCGGCATTTGCTCGATCTGCGGTTCCTCCTTACGACGACAGTTGACAGTACTGGCCACGGCACCACCCGAAGAAGGGGCAGTCGAAGATCCACTGAGCAAAGCTGCAAAATTCAGAGTGACAGAAAAGAGGTTCATGTTTAAGGTACTAATCCATTTGAGAAGATAATAATAGGTCCACTCACCACTTCCTGTCATTGTTGGCATAGTTGGTGACGAGTCTGTAGCCGTTATGGTCGAAGCTGCCGCCGCTGGCAATCCCGATGTACCACTCACCCCTGTTTGAACTGAAATCGGAGTACGTTGTGGTATTTGGGCGGCAGCCATACGCAAAGCAGACATACGCTGAAACTCTGGCTCCTGCAGCCATTTGAACATCCTACGGAACGTTTCTCGTCCGGACTTAAGCTTTGACCATGGCTTTGGGTTGCGCAGCAGATCAGATAGTGTGCCCTGGGAGCGGCAAAGGACGCGCTGTGCGAAAATTGCCTGTGGAATACTGTATCTCTTCAGTTCGGCCGAGATGCGCTGAGCCAGCTCTTTTGTATTGATCTCTTCCATATCACTTGCACTGCTGGTTCTGCTTCCCCCTCCGCTAGTTCCAGGATTGGATTTTGGGGAATGCGATTTTGAAAGCTGCTGCTGCACGTTTTGGTAACCATTTTGATGAGACTGCGTCTGTTGATGGCTTGTGTTGGCTTGTGAATGAGGGTTGCTATGTGGACTGCACTGATCGCCACTAATATCTTGGCTTTTCTGAAGGAAATGTTGATGTCTTTGACTTGGGTCGTCGCTCATTCCCATGCCTGCAGCACCCTCATCACTCTCAGCACACGTTACAGGTGGAGGTGTAGGAGTTAGAGAGGCAACAACAGGCATTTCGGCTGATAGACTTTGTATCGAACCATTTATGTTGGGCATGGCGACGACCGATGTGGGCGAGTGTAGTGACATGGAAACAACTGAACCGGCGGATGCTGAGTGGGGACTAAGTGTTGGACTATGTTGAAGTCCGGCCGTGGAACTTGTCGATGAAGACGTTGCCATTATCAGCTCATGGTCATGGTGATGCCCGCTATAGGATGACTCATAATCACTCACAACCACGCTATCCCCTAAAACACCGGAAGGTGAGAGACATATCACCTGTTTCTGCAGTGTTACTGGTATCAGCTGGAGTCCATGATTATGTCCGTGTCCGTGTGATTGCCCGTGATCGTGTCCGTGTCCATGATTATGTCCATGGGTAGTCAACACGTCTCTCTTTTGGCCGTTGGCCCTGACTCCTATCTGCAACTGAGGGGAGTTCGAATGAGGGGAAAGAGTCACACATCCACCAGTTACTGGGGAAGGCACTGACACTGAGGAACTGTGCGTGTGCAGGTCGCACGAAACTACCATTCCGGTGAGCCCGTGGGATGGTGAGCCGGAGTAATTGTGGGGGGGCGGAGAAATCATCGAAGGCAACTTGTCGTAGGAGGAATACGGCGACTGTACTCCAGATAATCCACTCAGACCAAGGTGACCACTACCCATGGCCATGGGGAGACTTGAAAATGAGCTGCAATCGTTGTTGCTACAACCAGAACCGCTGATATTACCACTACTGACAGTAGCTGTCTCTCCAGCGTCGCCGGATGAGTTGGTAGTGCCTTCTGCTCCATTGCCACCTACCCCTCCAGACCCTCCTCCGGAGATGTGGCCAGAGTAGGCGAACTTTTCTGACATCGTAGATATAGGCGGAAGTGGTTGGATGGGTGTCAGCGTGGCATAAGAGGTTGGACTAAAACCGGGAGGTGATAAGCGATCATTGACCGATGTTAATGTTTGATATGAGCTGTGCTCCAATACAGGGCTGAGTAATTGGTCGCGTCCACCCGAGTCTCGATCGTCGTCGTCGTCTTCTTCCGCATCCCCATCCACATCCTTGTCGTCCTCGTGCGACTGTACAATGACGGATAAAACCTCTCTGTGAACACTTCCATTGTGTCCCAGTCCCATCGGGGCTGATCGATGGTGCAGACTATGATGAACTTGGCCATGAGTTTGATGGTGCGTTAGATGACCATACTGATGCTGCTGTTCTAAAAGCTGTTGATGTTGATGATGTTGATTCAGTGTGACCTCTTCCTCCTCGCAGGCTAAGCCGTCTGACGAAAGCTCATCCATAAGTCCAACGTCGACGCTTGAAACGTCTACATCCATATTATGACGTTTACTGGCTTGAGGCGGATTCCTAACCTGGCTGAAATCGTGATCTCGACGAACTATAAGAAGCTTATGCTCCTGCTTGACAGATAAACCTTGGGATAGCACTGTATTCACTGTCAGTCCATCCAGACTAATATCCGAGCCAACAAAGTCCACTGGGCTACTGTCGATCATCCGCTCCTGACGCTGCTGGTGCTGGCCCTGGTCCTGATGCTGGTGGTGGAGCAACGACAATGGAAGTGGCAAGTTCCTGCCCTGAATCTGCAGCTGTTGAGGCATAATCTGATACGCTGTCTGCACACTTCTGTGCCCGATTTCATCAATGACCATCACAACAGAACTGGGCTCCTCCTCGCCAGCTCTGTCCGCCGAGGATATTATTGATTGCATGGTCATTGCAAGGGCCTCACCGCTAACGCCATGTAAACTATGTGACTCGGACTCGGAGTCGGCCTCTTGTTGCTGGTTCTGGTGTCCAACGGTAATGAACTCATTGGCCTCGTCCACCAGTTCCTGGCTAAATGTCTGGGAATCAATGATTTCATTAATTGATTCCATTCCTTACAAAACTTCACAGTTGTCAATAACAAGATGGAGATTGGAGATTCCTCGTCAGCTATCATCAAAATGTAACTGCAATAAGCGAAAAAACTGTATCAAATTGATGATCACTGCTTAAATAGTGTATCTAATGGAAACAGACTCGGAAACAGATTCAGCTTTTGGTATGCAAATGTATATAGTATTATGTAACTATAATCGAGCTCATCTCACACTAATTTTTTTTTCCTTTCCTTAAGTTGACTGACTTAAATATGGCTAATAAAGAAATGCGTTGCACGTATTACTTAAATGTTCTTTCCTCTAGAGTACATATGTACATATGTATGTATTTACATACATATTTACATTTATTTATATGTACATATATATTTTTGCACATGACATATATTCCTATGCATTATGAGTGCATTTACATACATGTACATATCTATATATTTCTATATACATATACATATATTAATATATACATATGTATATGTACATATGCAAGCTTGAATTAAATATGTATGTAAATACAGCATGGCTTTTTAGTTGTGTGGTGTGTGTATGGTATGTTAGGGGTCTGGGTCTGTATTTATTTCTTATATGTACATATATTTTTGTTAGCCATGAGTTCCGTTCCGTTCCTTTATTGTTTTTGTCGCTTTTGACGTTGCCATCCGTCGACAAGGCTTAAGGGTTGCTTCGACCCAGCTACGGGCTTCACATATGTATGCATGCACATGTTTACGCACACACTTACATAAATATGTACATTTACTCATAAGTAGTCGTAAAGGGGGTTGTGGTTGGGGTTGCTGCACTTTAGAAGTATGTATATTTTATTTTGCACCTTTTGATTTATTTTATCTGTTCAAACAGTCTTTGGTCCTCCCCTGATTTTATATTGCTTAAAACATGTACCTTAAATGGTCACTGACTCGAGAACTACATCATAACGGGACCCGAGAGCTTCGCCCCACTTAGTGCAATTCGGTACATTTTTAAAACATACACAGGTACACAAATATTTCCGGAAAGCGTAGTTCTCTGGACTTTTAAAACAACAGAAGAACTGCAATTTAATTCCGATTTATTTTTTTCAAATTTGATAAACTGGGCCGAATCGATGGATAATTATAACTAGAGCATTTTTTCTAGCGAAACCTTTATTTGGAAAATTCTCTACGCATGTAGGTGTACCCGTGTATGCATGAGTGTACACACACACACATGTGGGTGTTATTTTTTAAAACTTTGTTATGTGACGACCGCCGCGTTCCATGAAGTTTCGGCTACTGAGCAGCCACAACACGCCACCCCTCGAAATAAGGGTTGCGTTGCCGCTGCCGCTGCCGTTGCCCGAAGGCGGGCACAACATACACACGAATATTGAGCATGCGCATTGCCGTTACCGTCACATCCACTCCACATCCTGTTCATACATACCACCTTTTGTACTACTATCAATAATCACAGCTGGCACTGTATACTTCTGGGAGCTCAGCAGGCAAGTCTAATCACATAAGAAAGATCGCCGCTGTGGAACTTGAAAATAATCTGAAATTAATTTGATTCAATATCAGCAAACAAATAACGCTTAGTAACTTTTTTATTTAATTTTTGAATTTCAAGAATAAATATCGTACATACATATGTTAAGATATATTTATGTACATATATTTATGACTTAAAAATTTAAAACTTTAACAATGCACCTGACTGATTTGTTTATTTGAAGGTTTGGGTAAGGTACTCTAAGTAGTTATTAATATGGTACAGAAATAAGCTTAAGCTGTATGATCAAATTCCTATCAGTTCCTATTTAACGTGCTTATGATAAGCATAGATTGGAAAGTGCATTTTCTGTTAACTTTTGTATGCATTTGGAATGCAACTTTCAATGCATGAACATACATACATTTTATATTTATTTGTTCTTGCATTCTCCATGCTTTCTTTTTGCTATCTACGTCTGCAAACAATCAAATTACATGCTATTAATTAGAGTCCCCTCTCTCCAGTGCTAATTTGTATTTTAAATACTCGCGCCGCTACGCAACCGATTCGAAGAGCTCGGATGTTTCACATGCTCTTAAATATGTAGGGGAGAATTATACAGACGATGTAGCATTTCTTTCGCTATCGATGGTCAAACTGGATGCGCGCAAGGAAGCCAACGAGAGATTGCTGTGGTACAAAGCCTTCGGGGAAAGCAGCGTTGCATTCTGAATACCAATGCCTGGTATAGTTTGGTTGATATTGCAAAATATAGAAGATCCATTGACTGAACGCGATTGCGCTGACAGAGGTTCGGACTTCATCGTCAAGAGCCCATCAACAGAAAGCGCATTAGCATTCAATGTGACCGTAATAGCACTTCCTCCATCAGTGCTTTCATTCTCGCCCACCCCAGGTACTAGGCCGCCACCGCAAAGGTGCAGGCGAGAGCTCAAGAACTTGTTGCAGGCGGGACATGATCGTGTTGGTCCGTTTTTGTCCCGCCGACGCAATATTTCGTGAGCGCATCTGAAACGATTGAAAATATAATTTCCAAATACAATTAAAAACTAGTGGGAAGGTGTGAGAGGCTTTGTGCGCGATACATCTTTTATACCCGGTACTCAGTCAATATATCTGTACCTTACTGTTTTTTTTTGGCGAATTTTACATTTGACTATTTTTTACATCTGTTATCTACACCTACATCACTTCTTACGCCATTTTTATACCCGGTACTCGAAGAGTAAATAGGGTATATTGTATTTGTGCCCAAAGTATGTAACACACAGAAGGAAACGTTTCCGACCCCATAAAGTATATATATTTTTGATCAGCATCAATAGCCGAGTCGATTGAGCCATGTTTGTCTGTCCGTCCGTCCTGATGAGCGCCTAGTACTCAGAGACTATAAGAGCTAAAGCCACCACATTTTGCATCCATACTTTTCTGTATGCACACAGTTACAAGTGTATTTCAAAAATGAGCCCACCCACTTCCGCCCACTTCCGCCCACTTCCGCCCCCGCAAAAGGGCGAAAACCTCCCAAACCTACAATTTTGAAGATATGAATGGGAATAACCATATCAATTAGATCACCAAATTGAGATCCGATGGGATCATTATTATGGCCATAACGAAGAAATCAATTTGCAGTGGCTACACGGTGGGTCAGAACATTTGAAATATACAGAACAGACAGAAGACAAAACTTGGTTGCCCTATCTCTTATGGTCTCTGAGTACTAGGCGCTCATAAGGACGGACGGAAAGACAGACATGACTTTATCGACTTGGCAATTGATGCTGATCAAGAATATATATAATTTGTGGGGTCGGAAACGCTTCTATCTGTGTGTTACAAACATCCCCAAAAATACAATATACTTTGTTTACTCCTTGAGTACCGGGTATATCAATTGTTGTTGGGGATCAATCCTTTACTTATGTAAATATGCATGTACCTAGCATGGAGAATGTGTGCACAGGGTAAGGCTTCTAGGTGGCCCGGCTGTAGGCCGAATAGTTCCCCACAAGCACCACAGTTTAGGCCTAGTGCAGCATCTGTCTGATTTGCCAGACGGAAATTAGTATTATACTGATCCTCGTCGCCTAACGCACGGTATATTAAAGCCAGTCGACAACGAATCTTTCGCACCAGAAGCTACAATAGAGATGTAACATATGTACATATGTAAATGTGTATGTTATTTCCACTTTCTGGATCTACTTAATACTTACCTTGGCACCAATCGAGCTGGCAACCTCCAGTAGACGTGTGTTAAATTCCAGAGGCCTGCAGTTGCAAATCTTGTTCTGAAGACGTAGAGTTTCCAGGCACCGGGCAGCCCCGTCCATAGCCTCCATTTGAGCCATGCGATCCCCTAGACTTGCAGATGTGCCCATTGCCTGCTCATATTGTCGGAATGCTCGCTGATGTACGATTTTTCACCGATCAATCAAAAAAAGAAGGAATAAGTTAATAATACGGAATAAATAGATTTTACTTGAAATATTTTACTTATATGTAAAAAAACGAGAAGAGACGTGTGAGACGCTTCTTACGCGTCACAACTTTTATACCCGGCACTCAGGACTTCATCTAGATGTAGAAGACATCGCCAACCACTAGATATCGTTCACATTACACAACACGTAGTAAAAAGCCTACTAAATAAAATGCATCAAACAAATTTGATCAGTTAATCGTATTTTCCAATTTATGAGATATTTAAATTAGAATTTAGATTTTTTCTTCATCTGTCATCTACATCTACAACACTTCTCACACCAACACGCTCGCCGCCCTTCCCTAGACCCACATACTGCAGACTCGCGGCAGAGTCAGCGATTGCACAAAAAAAAAACAAATATAAGCTGCGGGACGGGGTGGGTTTAGCCACTGGAAATTAATTTCTCCATTGTGGCTATAATAATGATCCGATGGGATCCCAATTTGGTGATCAGATAGATATGGCCATTTCCTACGGAATGGCGTTTTTAGTTTTCTTTTATCTTCAAAACTGTAGATTTGGGAGGTTTTCGCCCTTTTGTGGGGGCGGAAAGGGGCGTGGCTCATTTTTGAAATACACTGATTTCAGTGGGAGCATACAGCAGTCCGGAGCCAAAATTTGGTGGCTCTAGCTCTTATAGTCTCTGAGAACTAGCCGACAAACAAGACGGACAGACGGACAGACGCACAGACGGACAGACAGACATGGCTCTATCGACTCGGCTATTGATGCTGATCAAGAATATATATACTTTATGGGGTCGGAAACGCTTCCTTCTGTGCGTTACATACAACCGTTATTCCCCACAAATACAATACCCTATTTACTCTTCGAGTACCGGGTATAAATAACAAGACCTTTTTTAACATTTATCGTTGAATACCATAAAAGATATCGATCTTGTCGATTGTTCCGATGGTAAACTTTCAAATGCTTTTACTACTCGTAAATTTAATTCGAAATAAAGAATTATGGATAAATATGTACATATATGACAAGTTAAAACATCGAGCAGGAAGCTTTGTCTCACATATATGGTATGTATTTATATATGTACAGACATACATACATACATATGTATGTACGTATGTAAGGCTAGGTCATTTAAAGTATAGTAAGCGCTTTAGTTCAAAATGAAAAAGTAAAAAATGGTTCTTAAGAAAGATGGAAGTGGCACTTCCGTCTCATTTTAAGCCATTTAAGCCATGCACGTTTTTTTTACAAACATCTATATCCATTTTTTTTCGGTATATGTCCCCCATAACGCGGATACTCCTGGTGTATGTGGCCTGATCTCCAGATATAAGCGAAAGTTTAGTTGCCTCCTAAAACAATGAAATGTATCAAAAGATGTCGACTAAACAATGAAATGTATCAAAAGATGTCGACTAAATTAATTATCGATATTAAATTAATAAACCGTAAATTACCTTACAGTAGTCTTGCGCATCCCCCAGCTCGCCCTGCTTTCGTAGGGAGGCTGCCATGCGTAGCAATGCAGCTCTATGATGACATGAATTAAGATCCCCGAGTTGTAGGGAGCGAGACAAATCGTAAGCTTTGGATGCGTAGGTGGCACTTTTGTCGTTATCCTGCAGTCGGCCGAAAAGTTCGGAGAGTGCCACGTATACTTGCAACTCCAGCGAAGGATCGCCAATGGCTGTAGCTATCTTGTGTGCTCCTTGTAGTCCCTCCAATGCTCTAGAAAACCCGCCCATTTCGAGATACACTCGTGCCACTGTCAAATGGACGAGTCCACTGCGGCATTTTGTTCCGCACTCGTTGTATAGTGAGTGACGGGCGTAGCTCAAAGCCCGCTCCAGACCACCTAGACTGGCATGTGCTCGACTGAGGTTCAGATACGTCTCTGCCCGCATGTTGGGTGAATCGAGTTCCTCTGATATGCTACAAAATATAAGGACAAATTAGAATAGATCTTGATGAGATTGTGAAAGACTTTTGTACGACATACATATGTATGTATGCATGGTCTGGCCAAAGAAAAAAGCAATACATAGTTAGCTATACCGCAGTTCAGTGATTCTGATTCTTTCTAGGTGAGCTTAATTTTGAATGCAAGAGCATGACGCATTAACTTTCTCGTTCGTTTCATTTTAATTTCATCACTATTGTGTTAACTTGATGCGGTTGTACGCTTCAGATCAGAATGTTATAAATCGGTAAACCAAACTTCGTGATTAAAACCAACATTTTTTCGTGAATATGTGCTTAATCTAGCTCTATCTTTTCCTACCTATCATAGTAAAAATTCAA